TACGAATTCTACCACTTCATCCCCCCTAGCTTCTGGCTCCACCACCTTCCTCTTCTTCCTCCAAAGTGGCACCACCTCTTCACTCACTTCTTCGTTACTCCTCCTCATAGGCTCTGGCCTTTGCTGCATTTCCAAAGCTCGAGTAGAAGTGCTAGACAGGCGTTCCTTCTCTGTTGCCCCCTTGTCTGCCACATTTGAAGTCTTTGCCTTCTTCCTTGGCTTCTTTGAGATAGCTAGCCCCCTAGCAGCGTTCAAAAACCCCTCCATCTCAGCTGCAAAACAAACACAAGTGTTAAAACACACTGACTAAAATCTCAAATAAATTGCACAAAACAAAAATCAACAAACCTTCGCTCAATGAGCTTGGCCCATAGAGCTCGGCAGCCTCTATTGCCTTCGAGCTGGTGAGGTACATGATATCCACTAAGTCCCCCTCTTCCCTCACTAGCTTCCCAACCTCTTCCACCTCATCCTTGTTTAACTTAAAATTGTTCTGCTTGGTTTTTTTAGCTTTCCAAGCAGATAGGTGTTCCACTTCGGCATTCCTCCTACTCCACTCGGTGTCATCTGCAAAGAAGAATTTTTCTTTGGTTAAAACCCCATTTTGGTCCATGAACTATTGTACGGACCCCCGATTTGGTCCCTAAACTAAAAAAATCCCTGATTTACTCCCTACTGTTTACTATTTTAACCCCGATTTGGTCCTTCCGTTAAATATCCGCCTACGTGTCTTGTTACTTGACAAAGAAAAAGATGACATGTTAAAACATTTTGACACCTAGGATGTACAGCGTGGTAAAGAAATGAGATGGCAAAAAATTACTTTAAAAAATTTCTTTTTTTTTTCTTTCTTTGTTTTTCTTTTTACCCTTTCTTCTTCCTCTCCCTTTCCTTTCACCTTCTGCAAACCCTAACATTTCCTAATATTAAATTGGTTTAAGTACCATTTTCGTCCCTCAACTTTACACTTTGGTACCAAAATTGTCCCTTACCTTTAAAAAGTACCAAACTTATCCTTGAACTTTCATTTTTGATACCAAAATAGTCCTTCCGTCAGTTAAATAACAGGTGTCATGTTAATTTGCCAACAAATCACTTAGCTTTTTAAATGTTAATGACGTATAAATCCAACAAGGAAAACTCTCATTTTTTTAATCAGTTAATACATTAAAAAAATAAAATTACTTAAATGCCCTCATCCTCATCCTCCAACCTTCCTTTCTTCTTTCTCTTGCATCTCCTCCAAGCTCCAAGCAAACCAGCAACTTCGAAAAATCTAGCAGCTCAAAAAAAAAAAAAAAAGCAAGGTAAACCCAGATTTCCTACTCATCCTTCTTCTTCCTTCTTCTTATTCTTTTGCTCTCTCTTTTCCCTTCTTCTTCCTCTCTAGATCTGGGTTTGAGAAAAACCCAGATCTAGGTTCTCTTGTTCTTCCCTTGACTATGTGTAGTTGCTGAATATCCTTGAGTTCCTGCTTCGAGCTGATCCTTCTCCAAATGGTGCTGCAAAATCCCGAGGTTGGTCCTCGGGGAGAAACTCTGATGCTTAAGTCAGTATATTTTCTAATCATGTTTTCCTTTTTGTTCCGCCTATTTATCGAGCCTTACCTCGTGGGCTTATTCCATCTTGGCAAGGCACCCACGTGGCTCGTCCGCATCCACGTGGCTCAGTCACCCCAATAATGGTGACATAGTGCACCTGACGGAGTAGACGTTTTAGGTGAATGTAACGTGCCTTAACGGAGTAACTGCATTAAATGCGCGTGGCGCATTTTGACGGAGCAGGTCTCTTGAGAAAGGGTGTTCTGGTAAGGACAAATGATCAGGTGAGGGCATGCCTATTATGGCTGCCATACACTTTCGGCGAAATGCCGAGGTGCGGTGAGCTCTGAGTTCCGCAGCCGAGGTGCGGTGATCTCGGAACTTAACCTTGTGTGTTTTCTAGTCTGGT